AAAAAAAAAAAATCATTTTTTGTTTTTTAGAGTGATCAAAATTGAATATCTTTTTAAGATTTCAGTCAGTTCTCAAACGTTGCATTATCAGCTGTCTATCAGTGTTATTTATTGTTCCATCTGCAGCAGTAATCATATTTATTGTATTTAGAGCCTTGCAGATGTAAAAACTAAAAGTACAAGCCAACAAATTCCATAATTTTTGTGGTTATCGTATTAGCACCCATATGAGTAAAGCACTGTCAACATATCTCATCTCTTTTTTTATTTTTTGTACAAAAACCTTCAACAGACGAATGTATCAAAGATAAATGCATGAATAATAATGTGGGCAATGCTATAAACAATGCCGAAACAAAAATGAAAATGATATTGCAGATCGTTGGTCAAGATTTTTGCACTAAGTTTTGTTCTTCTTAGAATAGTTGCTAATAACGTTGCTAAAAATACACACTGTCCTATTGTTCGTTGATTTTTTGGCAGAAAAATAAATTGCATATAAAAGAAAACTGTATATAAGGATTGTTTTTTTTTTTTTCTTATAAAATAACAAAAAAAAAATTTGGCGCAACCCGTTTTCGTTGAATGGACACCGTGGGAACCAACATATATACGTCTGCACTGAAATTTGTTCCGCTACTACGCTTAGTGTATGGGATAAGAAATGGGGCCCCGTATAGTGTTTGCTTTTCATTTCTAATACATTCGGCCTGAGCGCAGAAAATGAAAGCTAGCCAAATAGAATTCAGTGCAATTTTTCAGTTTCCTACTATGCTTAGTTGCCAGAAAACTGATAAATATCATTCAAAATTCTTTAAACAGCTAGGTACCATCTTCTAGCTGTTAACAATAGAAAAGTTGTAGCAGCTTTTAAAACCACTTTTAATTGACCATCAAGAACTGCAGTAAGCTCAATCATACTGGTCCGCCTTATCAACGATGAGCCTTCTTAGATAGAAAAACTGTTCAAATAAACTTGCATGCAGATATATTACCTTTTTTGTCAACCATGTCTGCCTTACAATCAAGTAGCCGATCGAATAGTTTTCGAGGCTTCAGAATTGAATTGAGCGGTGAAGGGGTGAACAGAGTGGTAAAATACTAGGGAACTTAAGGTATGGACAATGAAAAGTACTGATATAAAAGTCAATTGCATTGGATAAAAACAATCTTTTTATATTTTATATATAGCAATTGACTTTTTTTTTACCTTTCTCTTATTATGTATTTTCATCTGCATTTTTGTTGTTGTTGTTGTTGTGAAGATGAACAATTAGAAAAAACCAAAAAAGGTTTATAAACACAAAAACAGAAAAAGTTTTCTTTTTTATTGAAGAAAACATTGTTTTTGAGAAACCTGAAAATTAACACTACAAAATGTTTTAGTGCATATCTTTTTTAGTGTCTTTTTTAAGCTTAACTTGAACAAGCTTAGAATTTTAAAGAACTTGTTCTAATCAACTTTAAAGTCACCGTTTCTTTTATTTCTTTAGAAGTAGTTTTTTTTTTGAGCATCAGCTCTGATTAATGCTGAACACTTTAAAATAAACGCATTATGCTTTATTAAGGTTTTTTCACTTCTCGTAAATTTTCTAATATAGTTTCCTTTTTTAATTTCGTTACTGAATAACGATTATTGAATAAGGAGATCAGAGAAGAGAGAAGAAAAATAAAAAAAGAAATGTTCATTTCTCTTCTACTTACGGGCAACAATTTGATAATTTATTAGTCTGGTTTTGTCTATAAAATTGTAGACAGAACTATTTAGCATTTATTCAATAATATAAAAAGTGTTGTTGTCTGACAAAGGCGATACAGTACTGTACGAATAATATGAGTATAAAAAACAATGAATCTTTACTTGTAATTGGTTCTACCAAATTATTAT